TATTACCCTCAGGGTCCATGTACCCAAATAGTAGATACATGGCCCCCAAAGTAGTTTTCGTAGGGACTACGTTAAGGCCACAGGTACATGAACCTTGTCACCCTAAGGCTCTAAGGACTCATATTTTAAGGCTTTTGGGCACTAAGACCATGCTCTACAAGGCTTTTGGGCTATTTTGAGCCTTAAAATATTTAAAACCCTGAAATCTAAGCCCTAAAACCCAATGAAACCCTAAAGCCTAAACCCTAAACCCTGTAACCCTAAACCTTGAACCCCCCCAACCCCCAACCCCTAAACCCTAAACCCTAAAGCCTAAACCCTATAACCCCTGAAACTATTTTGAGCCTTTGGGTTAGGGCTCCGATCTTAGCGGATCCCTCAAAGGCCGAAGTCCTAATCTGCGAGCTGTGGGCTTCCTGACACCCTAAACCCTTAACTTTCTAAGTTTAGGGTTTGGGATTTAGGGTTTAGGGTTTAGGGGGCTTCCTGACACCCCCCAAAACCCCCAAAAGCCCCACATGCCATAAGCCCTAAATCCTACACCCTAAGCCTTCTAAGTTTAGGGTTTAGGGTTTTAGGATTTAGGTTTAGGGTTTGGGGTTTAGGGTTTAGGCTAAACCCTAAACCCTATAAGGCCCTGTATCACCCCATAAATATAACCCTAAACCCTAGAACCGTAACCCCTAAACCCCAGGACCCTGAACCCTAACATCCTTTGCCCAGAAAGGCTATGTTGCTTTGGCCAGCAGCCTGCAGCAGCATCCCAGCTTGGAGCGCCTGGACCTGAGTAACTCTGCAAGAGGAGCCGAGAACTGCAGGAGGTCCTCCATGCGCCGTGGCTGCACCAAAGCTGCGGTTAGGGTTTAGGGTTTTGGGTTTTGGGTTTTGGGTTTTGGGTTTAGGGTTTAGGGTTTAGGGTTTAGGGTTTAGCGACCAGTACCTTGGACACAACATGAACCCTAAAAGGGCTTAAGGTTCAAACAATATACAGGGATGCATAGCATTGGACTTGTACAAGTGCAACCTGAAACTCCTCCATTTGCCTCGGGTGGACCTTTTGCCGACCCCCTTATGAGATAGACTTGGTCTGGGTCCCTACACCCTAAACCCTAAACCCCAAACCCTAAACCTTAGACTTCCTCTCAAAGGAACTCGCTATGCGAAGAGGGAGCACAAGCACTTGCGGCCGCGTTGCGGCAGAATCAGACACTGCGTGCTCTGCATCTTCGGTCCTGCTTGGAGGACAGGATCTTGGGGAACCTTAAACTCCGGGTTTAGGGTTTAGGATTTAGGGTTTAGGGTTTAGGGTGAACGATCTTGGGGAACCTTAAACCCCGGGTTTAGGGTTCAGGGTTTAGGAGTTTAGGGTTTAGGGTGAACCCTAAACCCTGAACCCTGACAGGAAATACTGTTATTTAGTTCAGAACCCTACTTGTAGGATCACTGGAAACAGTAAGTGTTGCTAGTCTAAGACATCCCAGCGAAGCCTAAAGCCTAAACCCCTAAACCTTAAACCCTAAACCCTACCAGGGTTCTATAAGGGTTCAGTAGCAGCTGCCTTGATATGGGCTTTTGGAGGTCCTGGGCAGGGGGCCTCTGTCTAAATCTTATTGTGGGTTTACTTACAATTTAGGGTTTAGGGTAGGGCATGATAGGGCCGTACGGAGGTGTTATGGGTTTGTGAACGCGGTATCCAGGAGTTGATAGCTATCTCTGGTTTCAGTGTAACGATTTTACCTGGGCTCTCCTTCTGAAGTCTCCGTGTTCATCTTCATGATGCCAACTGCTAAACAGAAGCCGAAGGGTTTAGGGTTTACCTGAACCCCAAAGAACCTACCTTTTCAAGGACTTATATAAAGAAATCCCAATAAGGGAGCCCTAAAAAGGTAGGTTCTTTAGGGTCTTTGTGGGTAGTTGTCAAAATTATGGTCCCTTTTGGAGTACCCTAAATAATAGGTGCCGTATTATAATAAGGACCCAAAAAGGCTGTAGGGTTCAGGGTGGGTTTAGGGCTTAGGGTTTGGGGTTTGGGGTTTAGGGTTTAGGGTTTGGGGTTTAGGGTTTAGGGAGCTCCAAGTACGGAAACTGTCGTGAGTTATAAGACTTCGCTATAGATACCGTAGCCTCGTGTAGGGCTCCCTAAACCCTAAACCCTAAACCCTAAACTGGCTACCTATCGTTTCTCTCTAAGGCAGCACGAAGCCGAGGTTAGTCTAAGGATTTCCAGGCGCACGCGAATTGGGAAGATAAGGGTGACGTAATATAAGGGTTTTACAAGGGTGACGTACTATTTTGGGGGAGTAATTCGGGACCTAGAAGGGACACTAATTCGGAGAATATGTCTGCGTTTTTTCGGGACCTAGAAGGGACACCAATTCAGAGAATATGTCTGCGTTGTTTTTGTTGTGCTTGAGGCTGTAGGGTTTAGGTTCCTGGTACCTCAGCTCATCAGAAGGTGCTCCTTCTGACCTTTACCCTGAACCTGCTAAGCCTTAAGCCTCCGTTCGTCTTCCCATACCTCAATCCGAAGTCGTGAAAGACTAAGCTCAAATCTATTGAAAAAGGACTGTGCCGCCCGGTACATCATCAGCGCTTCATGCTCCAACTCGTCTTTGACGGAAGTGGACCTGTCCGCGAACAAGGCATGGTCTACAAACCCTGACAGCTAACAAAGACCTTTTAAGACCTTCGTACAACCTGTACAAAACTGTTACATACCTCTGAAGAGAGAGAGAGAGAGAGACAGAGAGAGAGAGAGAGAGATATATATATATATATATACGCACACTAAACCTTAACCCTAATACCCAAGCCGTAAGCCATACAACCTCTAAACCCTAAACATACCCCAAACCCCCCTAGCCGTAAGCAGGGGCCCCAAAAGGACACCTAAACATAAGGATCCTACGGTTGACGATAGTAAGGAACATACCATGATTCCCATAGTCTAGCGTCCTTAAGCTAATGCAGGATTTATATCATCAGAAAAAGCCTACAACCCATAGGGTTTAGGGTTTAGGCTTTAGGGTTCCACCCTAAACCCTAAACCCCAACAAGCCTACAACCCCGGTTTTAGGGTGTAACCCTAAACCCTAAACCCCAAAAAAGCCTACAACCCCATACCATGGAGCCCACAGAGATGAGATGAAGCTTCGAGGTTTCGGATGCCGACTGCGCCGACCTGCGCCCGGGCCCTTTTTTGGTGGTCTTAGGTTCCTCCCCTAAACCCTAAACCACTAAA